TCGTTGCTGATATGACTCTAGTATAAACTGTGAGGCCTGGTTTTGATCTAGGATTGTTAGATGAGTTTGATTTCAGGTTGTGGCGAGGGTTTCAGGATGTTGTGTGAGTGTGTTTCAGAGAGCGTGAGAGATAGAGTGAGGGAGATGAACGAGAGGGAGCGGCGCTAGGTGTTGAGAGTGAACAGTACCCTGAGAGGTTAGGAGGAAGATGGTTTTTGGTTAGGTTTTGTCTGGATTAGGGTTTGTGTGGACTGGGCTTAAGCCCAAAGGCGTACTGCTGACGCGCACACCCAAATTGCTTCCCCACCCCCAGCGTGTGTGAGAGACTTGAGTGGAGTGGATTGGGCCTTAAGCCCTTAGTTACTTTCTGCACCCCCTGGGCGTAAGCCCATTGAGATATCAACTGCAGCATTGCTAGCGTTGCACCCCCCATATGTTTTTTTTCTGGCTGCTTGATAATCAGACTTGGGCCCTGCGCCCAACTGCTTTTAGTACCCCCCAGAATTAGGGCCCAAAGCATAAATAACTCATAATCTTGCTGTTTAAACCCCCCAGTTTTAACTCAATTTTATTTCTTTAATTTCTTTTATTTTCTTTACATATTAAATAAATCATAAAAATGTAAATAATTGTGGTTTTTTTTAATAATTCTTTTTCCATCCATCTCATGAAAATGTTAGGAAAATCCAATAAAAATAAAATTGTCATTTTATTTTAGTTTTCTATTTTAGTGCATATTTTCCATTTAATTGATTTTTTAATATTTTTAATGCATGCATATCATTAGAAAATTCATAAAAAATGGTAGAATTAGTCGAATAATTCCGTTCTTTTTTCTGTAGACTCGTAATTCAGTGTAGAATTTTATAGTGCAGAAACATTAGCTCAATCATGCATTTTTATTTTAATTGCATTTTTTCACTGTTATTGATGTTGAATAAATTGGTCTGTTGGCATGTCTGTGTTGCTGATTTTATTTCTTTCATCTGGTATTGAATTTTATTCTGATTTTTTAGTATGTTACCCTAGAGCCATGTAGGTCTCCCATTAGATTTTTGATAGATTTTTGTAGGGTGTTCTGCTGTGATTTGTCTGAGCCTGAAGTTAGGAGAAGTCTGGGTGACTTCTGACTTTGAAGTTCAACTGTGGTTGAACTTCAGAGATAGTCTCCTGTGGTTTGCTGGCCTGTGGTTTCTTCTTGAAGGTGGGAGCTGATGGAGGTCCTGCTGGGGCTTGCAGAGTTGCATTGGATTGAGGCTTAGTCTAGAAGCTTGTTGTCTGTTTGTGAGGTTCGAGATCCTGAAGTTTGAAGGGAGTTTATGGTACTTTCCTGAGGAAGGCACTATGAATGACTTTCATCCTTCCTTCTCACCTCTTTCGTAAGTATCCAATGATGTCGGAGCCGACTTGTGAGTTTAATCTCTCCTGAGGAGGGATGTAAACTGATCACATGTTGTTGAGCCACATGGGATACGATTCCTAAGTGGAAGCCTCCTAGCACTTTCCTGAGGAAGGTCCTATGGGTCTATTCACTTAGTTCCACTAGTTTGTCTAGGTCTTCTTAAGTATCCAGTGAGGTTGGAGCCGACTTGTGAGTTTAATTCCTCCTGAGGAGGAATATAGACTGATCACAGTTGTTGAGCCACGTAGGATACGATTCCTAAGTGTCAGCCTCCTAGTACTTTCCTGAGGAAGGTCCTACGAGTCTGTTCACTTAGTTCCCTTAGTGCATATAGGTTCTTTCCCAAATATCCAGTGACGCCGGAGCCTTCATGTGAGTTTAATCTCTCCTGAGGAGGGATATAAACTGATCACAGTTGTCGAGCCGCATAGGATATGACTCCTGAGTAGTAACCTCCTGGTACTTTCCTGAGGAAAGCACTATGAGCTTGTCTGCTTAGCTTCCTTTCTCTGGTAAGCTTGTTCTGAAGCTTGGAGAATGGGATTGATTCCTCTTGCCTAGGAGTTTGTTTAGATCCTTGCTTAGGGTTTTGATTAGAGTTGTTGCTTAGACCCCTGCTTAGGGTATTGTATAGAGTTTTGTTTAGAGAGTTATTAGGAGCTTGTTTCAGGTTTGTTTGAGGCCCTGTTCAGGGTTAGTCCCTTTGATTTGTTTGACTTGTGTGATGTTATGTTGCATTAGACTTAGGTTCATCTAGATAGTTTCTGAATAGGTGCATCTTAGAGGTAGACTGTGTGTGCATAAGAAGTTGAGGTGGTCCTCCTTCTGCTTGTTTGTTATTGCGTGGCTTTGCTTGTTGGTATTTGGTAGAGCTGAGCTCCCTTGCCTTTGTGGTTTGCGGCCTCTGTGCCTTGTTTGTTTAGCTGTTGCATTCATGCATATTTTCAGTATTCCTTTACGTTGTAGTTTCTTGTTTGTGGTTTAATCCTGTTGCCATGATCCCTTAGGAGCTCTGACTTCTCCGCTGCGGAGTTGTTATGATAGACATTAGGATGGTCAACCAGGTGTGATAGCAATAGGTAGATTCCCCTGTTTCTCGGCTATAGTTCTAGGGTTTCCCTTTCCTTTCTGTAGGAGCGTTTGAGTAGCTTGATCCGTAGTTAGCTGAACTACAGCTGCTCTGATTCTTCGTTCCAGACGAAGATATGTAGGCATAGGATGCGATATCCTAGCGAGCACACTAACGACTAACCTTTGTTCTCTCGCGGCTGTGCGATCGAGACTTTCCCGCTAACGACTAATTGTTATCCCTTTCTCCTGCCCGAGTGCATTTGAGACCAGATCATAGTTGTAGGTTCCCGAGCCTTAGAGACCAGTTTGTTTTCTCACTGTTGTGTGAGAGCCCCTGTTGACCCGTAGTTAGCCGAACTACGTTTGCTCTGATCTTTCATTTCAGATGGAAGTACGTAGGCACAGGACGCGATGTCCTGGCGAGCAACCTTTCCCCCGTTTAGACGTAGGAAGTCGAACTACGTTGACTCTGACTTTCCCATTGCACGAGGGAATACGTAGGCCCAGAACACCGTATGTTCTGTCGAGTCCTGTCCTTTTATTTTCTTTTTAGACCAGCCATTAGCGTAGATAGATAACACACCCTTTTACCTATAAACACCAAGCGTGGATCCCATCGAGTACGATGGACGTGAGGGGTGCTAATACCTTCCCCTTGCGTAACCGACTCCCGAATCCAGGTTTTGGTTGCGATGACCATACCTTTTTCCCGTCTTTGCGAGGTTTACTTCGAGCGTTTCCTTTCCCGCTCTGAGGGATAAATAACGCACGGTGGCGACTCTCCTGTCAAGCCGGCGCCGATTTTCGCAGTAGCGACAACGGGGAAGATGGTATTGCGAGCATCGTGGACGTTGTCATGGCTAGCCATGATCAAAGTCTTGAAAGAACTGCTTTGGTCTTAAATTTACGGAAAAAGAAAGACGGGGAGAACAAAGTTTCCCACAGACGGTGCCACTGATCTTGACGATTGATCAGAACCTGAAGAAGGCCAGAGACTTTGTCGGTGATGCTGAGTTGCGAGGATAAGGAGGGGGTGTACTTGCAAGACACGCTAATGCTAAAGTAAGAATCGGGAGAAAATAAGACAAGTACAAAGTGAGTATGTCTTAGGATGATTTAGAATACCTGACCCTCTCAAATGAGAGGGTTTTTATAATGCTTCCAGTGCTTGGCCATTGGTCTCTATTTTCGTGGCGAGATATTCCTAAAGAATAGGTAACTGCCAAAAACTAGCTGTTGGGACGGGCAGAGGTGCTCGGAACTAGTCGTTGTCGCAGGCAAGGGCGTGGTCGCAAACACGGGCGTCGTGACTGTTTCTGGATGGTGGAACCGTGCGTGACGGGCATAAATGTGACGAGAGGCAGCTGATCCTGGGGGTCAGCTAGTCAACCTTCCTCAGCAGAGGGGCAGAGGAGAGAATACTTTTATTTGCCCTTAACTGGCAGGGTTTAGGCTATTGGGTCGTTCTGGGTGCAGAAGTGGATTGGACCACGCCTTCTCACTTCTTTCGCATCCCATTGTCACAAATGCAGTTCTTCTATCCTAACCATTATCGGACCTTCCAATTACAACACCAAAGTCCGATTTAGATGCCTTTGTGTGTATCCATTGAAGCATATGATCACGAAACTCAAACTCTTGTCTGATTGTAAATTGTTTGCAAACATCTACCTCTTTCACTACAACACTTTTGACATCCCTAGACATATCAGGTTTTGGGAAACAATCTGAGTGCACCATGACTAATGCAAACAAAAACACAATATTTAAAAACTAAAACAAGAGACATTCCTTAAATGCTTTTTCATAGAAATTCGTTAGGGTTTTGAAGATGCATTTCCGAAAATAGCGTAACTTTGACAACACAGAAACAAGATTAATGCGAGCAATGAAGAATGAAATAAATGATCTTTACCTTGAATTCCAACTTCTTTTTCTCCCTTTGAAATGATGAAACACAATACTAAAGTTTTTGAACTAAAATCTTGATTGAGAATGAAAGGTTTTTTTGCAGGGTTTTGATAAAGATTGACAATGGAGTTTGATCATACAAGGTTTTGTTTTATCAAAATATAACGTTTAACTTTTTCGAAGATGCATCTTTGAAATAAGCTGATAATGCAAAAGTTACACCTTTTCCATTTTCCGTTTTACAATTTCAAAAATACACCTCTAAAAAAATATCATTGACTTAGTAAATTAGAAATAAAATGATAGACTTGATTCCAATATACATCTCCGAAAATTTAAAAAAAAAAAAAATTGACTCTATTGAATTATGTTTTAAGTGGCTTAAGAAACACATTCTAAAATGCATATTAGAATATAAGAGATATTTTCAAATTTTCATGTTATTCCACACATATTCCACCTCATGAGTGAGATTAACTATTCCCTAAAAAAAAATGAAAACCCAACAGCAGCCAACGGTTAATTTTCTACCAAACCAACCAGTGCATCCTTGGAAGAGATTATTTTCATGTACCAAGAGACAACGATACTGAGAACAAATTCAAGCAAATCAAACATGACTAGAAAACACCGTTCATCATCATCATCTGAATCTGCTTCATATTATCCCGCCACTGTTTCCAAACCCAAACTCAAACATCGAAATAAAATCGCAAAACAAAAGGTATTAGAAGAAGACGACGACAACGCTAATTATAGTGATGCAGACGCTGTTGATTCTGAATATAAAAGTGAATCTCAGGAAGATGATCACCAACAGTTTGAATATGAAACAGAAATATATGAAGAACAAGACGAAGACAATGATGATGATGCCGTTTCTGAATCTAATCCACTGCATGGTGACCCATCTTCCTCAAAAGAAGCACACAGTAGTGATGTTCCAGAAAGCGCTTCGATTTCTTATTCTAATGTCCCTGTTCCACCACAAACTATGAATGCATCTTCATACATAAAAGTCGCTCCTTTACCCATTTTTAGTGGTACTCCAAAGGAATCCCCAATAACCCATTTGAGTCGTTTCAACAAAGTATGCAGGGCAAACAATGCATCCTCCGATGAAATGCAAAAGAAGATCTTCCCTGTCACACTTGAAGAAGAATCTGCACTATGGTACGACCTCAACATCGAGCCTTACTACCTTTCTCTTTCATGGGAGGAAATCAAGTTGTCTTTTTTGCAAGCATATTACGAAATTGAACCGGTTGAGGAGTTAAAGTCGGAGCTTATGGGGATTCATCAAGGTGAGAAGGAACGTGTTAGATCCTACTTTCTGAGACTTCAATGGATTTTGAAGCGGTGGCCGGAACATGGGTTAGAAGATGATGTTATCAAAGGGGTATTTGTGAATGGATTGAGGGAAGAGTTTCATGATTGGGTTCTCATGCAAAAGCCCAAATCTTTGAATGATGCATTGAGATTCGCCTTTGATTTTGAGCATGTGAGAAGGATTAAGGGAAAGAAGGAAATGGTTTTTACTTGTGGGTTTTGTGAGGGGCCGCATGAAGAGAGTAGTTGTGGGGTTAGGGAAAGGATGAGAGAATTATGGAAACAGAGTAGGAAGAAAGAGGGAAGTGATAAGGCTGCTAAGGATCTTTTGATGTAGTTTTCTATGTGGAAGATTCAAATGAATGAGGGTGAAAATAGTGGTGAATCTTTGGTGGCGGGGAGAATGAAAAAAAACCTGAATCGATGCGCAAAACATGTGTTGGAAGAAAACCCTTTCAAGGAACGGGAGGCATGAATCTCGGATTTCTTATTATGACCAATAAATTTGGAAATTGTGTTCTGCACATAACTCTATTTAATTAGTGGGGAAGTTTGTACCAAAAGATAAACATAGTGGGGAAGTTTGTACCAAAAGATAAAACTAGTGGGGAAGTTGCTTTGTATATAGATTTTGGCATAGAATTGAATTATCATACATGAAAATATTATTTTGCTAATCACAATATAATGCTGGAATCAGCAGTGATTGATTTGCAAATAAAAAAACGTATTTAGGGCTAGAAGACACTATTTCAATTGGTTTGTTAATGTACACCAATCTTTACACTATAATACTATATTAGGTGTATAAGAATTCTGATTTTGATTGTTATTCAGTTCATTATCTCACTTTCTATTATTTTTGTTTCTTGTTGATTGGCCACAATTCCTAGCAAGGGAATGAAAATAAACTTCATTTCTCTACCATATTTCTGTTTGAGTACCTCATAATATAAATACACTTCTATGCTTAAATTAGGAAAATGCACACTATTTGGCAGTAATGTGCAAGCAAAATTGGCCAAATACACATTATTCTTCCATAAGTGGCCAAATACTTCAGTCCAACATGGTGAGCCTGCTATTGAATATTTGGCAGGCTATGTCTTACTAGCAAGAACAAAAAGCAAGTACAACAAACAGAAAAATCAGAACTATCCTTATTTTTATCATCTTAGTGAAAGAATTCAAAGTAAAATCACTAGGCATTTATGGTTATCTTGATTCTCTAACTCACCAAACATGTATAATACTGATATACTCTGAAGCATTAAATTCAGTCTCTCTTTACATCTTCATAATCCAATTCTCTAACATTAGTTCAAAGAAACAACACAATATATACTAAACCTGAAAGAGAGAAAAGCAAGAGAATGGTAATCGTTTTTTCAGCATGAAGAGAGGGAAGCAGAATCCACAATTGAAGAGGAAGAGTGAAGAGCATGAATATCGCTCCTCTTTCGCCTTGGCACCATTTTCATAACTTCTGGCCTACGCTTTAAAGTTTCAGGGATAGTACCACCAGTTTCATCTCTTATAGTCTGGTGATTGTAGCTCTGCGACTGCGAGTGATTCACAACTCCAAAATGCTTATCAGAGGAAACAGGAAACAATCTCTGATCAACGCAGCAGCCAAATTTCTGGATAGAGGTAACACAACACTCTTGCCAGTTGAGATCTGTGAGATCCGCAATCGCCTCCTCCACGGTCAAATCAGAAAATGCAGAAACACTCTCGGAGAGCGTTGATCGCGGTAGATCAAGCAGATCTAGCGTGTCCACAGCATCCATCAACACTTTCTGCGAATTAGATCCAAAGCAGATTTTGCAAAAAACTTTTTAAACGAAACTATTCATCGCAGATTCACATAGCAACATCGTTCAACTATATAGAGATGCTAAACTAAGTAGTAATAACTAGTACAGATCGGTGATGACAATTACAACAGTGAGAATTCACATACCTTTGGAGCATGGTGAATTTTCTTGAAGCCGTGAATACGGATGACCTAATGCAGTCGTAAGGAGTAAAAGAGAAGAAGAAAATGAGTATTGAAAATTAGGTCTAAATTGGTGTATATAGAGAAGGAATGGAACCTGATTGAGTTGATTCATGGTGAGATCAATGGCGTGACGAGAGTGAAGGAGATGAATGTAATCGTCGAGGCAGAGCTTATCGTTCTTGATCGGTCGTTTCTTTGAGGAGATTGTGTGTGCTACCATTGCCGTTCCCGTTGGTAATTCTTCTGCCATTGTTGCGATCTCAATTCAAACTTAAAATGTAAGGAGGGAACCGCCTTTTATAATCGCGCGCTATTTTACAAGTTTGTTACCATTGCGTTTACTACTACTTCTCGTCGTTTATCTCCTCCCCCTCACATAACAGATATTTTTCTTTTACTTTGTAGTTAATAGACTTTTAACATGATATCTATTTTATTTTATTTCAGGCTTTTTTTAGTAGAAAATAATAATATTTGAAAATGACACTAAATGTGAGCATTTCTTAAACTAAAATTCGAATGTTGATTTGTGTCTTAAAAATCTAAACATATTATACTAGGAAATCTAATGCTAATAAGCATATAAATATTTAAATTTTAGCTTTTGATCGAAGTTAAATTGGATATGTTATTTATCAAAATAAAATAAATCTGCCTATAAATACATTTCATGTTCATGTGTATCAATCAAGAGAATTAAAGACAGAAAAGTATAATTTATAGAAAATTATTTTCTAATTATATGGAGGGGAAAAAAAAGACTTGCGAGAGTCTTCATTTGATTTTTGAACACATTACAAAATTTTAATATACTACTATAAAAGAAAACTGCTTTCAATGTTGAGAACTTAAATAAAAAGAAAGGATATTTCATTAAATGATGAAATGAGTGAGAAATGTTCAAGAGTTACTTTACAATGAGCATGGTGCTGAAAAAAATATACATATACATATATAATTGAGAATAAAATAACTAACTGTTTCGAATTAACTATATAGGTTAGAAAACAATCATAATAAAAAAAATGTTGGGAAAATGCAATGTTGAAAAATGCAAGAATTTAGTAAAAACATCAGCGAATTGGGAGATGTTTGATGGAGGGAGTAAGTAGATAAACTTATATTGAAGCTTTTCACGAATAACATGACAGTCCAACTCAATGGATTTACTTCTCTCATGAAAAATGTTATTATATGTTACTTAAATGGTAGATCTGCTGTCGCAATAAACAGAAGTTAGAACATAAAAATTAATTCTAAAATCTTTAAACAAATATTGTAACCATTGAATTTCACAAGTCAAATAAGTCAAGCCCTTGTATTCAACTTCATTGGAAGATCTTGAAACAATATTTTGCTTCTTTGATTTTCAAGAGATCAATGAAGAGCCAAAAAGCCCACAAAAGCATGTGATAGACTTTCTTGTTTCAAAGCATTGTGCATAGTCCGAATTAGCAAAGCCAGACAATTTCAGTGAACAAGAAGAATGGAAGGAAGAAGATACCTTTTATAGGGGAAGATTTGAGGTACTTCATAATGCGTGTGGCAGCTGCATAATGAGGAACAAGTGATTTTGATATAAATTGGCTTAGGTGCTGCACTGAGAAGGAAATATCAAGCCTAGTATTTGTTAAATAGAGAAGCCTTTTAATGAGTCTTCTATAAGAGGAAGGGTCTCCCAAAGGTAATCTTTCGGTGCTGGAAAATTTTGGTAGTTGGATTAAAAGGAATTTATAAGGTTTAATAGCCAATAAACCAGTGTCTTCCAACAACTCAACTATATATTTTCTTTTATTAACAAAAATACCAGTATCAGATCTAGCAATCTCCGAACCTAAAAAGTATCTCAGTTTGCCAAGGTCTTTAATTCTAAATTGATGGTCTGAATACTTTTAAACATATTGGAATTCATGAGAATAATTGTCAACTAATACAATATCGTCAACATACACTAAAAAACCAGTAAAACGATCATTAATGGATTTTGTGTAGAGAGAATGATCAGATTGAGATACCGTGTATCCTAAAGATATTAAGGAAGTAGAGAGTTCAGATAATCATTGTCGACTAGCTTGTTTCAAGGCATATAGAGATTTATGCAATTTACACACTTTTATTCCAACATTAGTGATGGGATACCCAAAGGGTAAAGTCATGTAAACCTCCTCAATTAAATCCCCATGAAGAAATGTGTTGTTGACATCCAACAGTTCAAGATGCCTACCCTTAATAGAGGCTAAAGTCAATAAAACTATAATTGTAGTGATTTTAGCAACCAAAGAAAAGTATTAAAATAATCTACTCCCTTCATTTGTTTGTATCTTTTTGCAACTAGTCGAGCCTTATACCACTTAATTGAGTCACTTATATGGTACTTGACCTTAGAAACCTATTGACAACCGACTGGGGTTTTGCCTTGGAGAAGATCAACTACGAATCATATTTAATTTTCAGTAAGAGCCAATAACTCAGCACACATTACTTTCCTCCAACAATAAATTTTGCATGATTGGGGTTGAAAGTTTTAGGTTCTTATTTTACCGAACGATCAGAATCTGAGATGGGTCAAAGACAAATATATGTGATGATGGGTGTGCAAGAGGAGGAGGGAGTGTACCTGTAAGGCACTTCGATGCTAAAGTAAGAAAGTAAGCAAGAGAGCGAACAAGTACAAAATATGTGTATTTCAAGGTGAGAAATTGGATATCTGGCCCTCTCAAGTGAGAGGGTTTTTATAATGCCCACAACGCTTGGCCATTGGTCCCTATTTTTTAGGCGAGATAATCGTTTCCTGAAGAATAGGTAACTGCCATAAATATTCGTTGGGACGAGAAGACGTGCCCATAACTAGCCGTTATGACGGGCAGAGATACAGTTACGGGCACACCCGTCTTGACTGTTTCTGGATGGTGGAACTGTGCGTGACGGGCAGAGACTGACGGGGGAAAGTGTTGTGACTAACGGTAAATGGGTCAACCTCCCATGTTGGAGGGGCTGAAAGGTAAATCCCCCCCCCCGAGAGGTTGGACATAGGCAATTGGGTCATTCTAGGAGCAGAAGCGGATTGGCCCGATGCTCAACCATTGGGCCAGTCCGGAATAGTAGTCCCCCAAGTCGTTGCTACCGAGCATGGTAATGATGACTTAAGGATGGTCTGTTTCCCGGGCAAAATCGTTGTATGTTTCATCGTGTTCGGATGAACCCATGCCCGTGGATGTTGGTGTCGGGGATCTTGAGATTTGGGGAGCCCAACGGTTACTGGGATCTGAAGAGTGGGGATGCCACGTGTGCCTCGAGTCGTGTGCTGCATTAAATGCATGATGATGTCTAGGCTAGGGTCATGATGATGCCCTACGCGCGCGTGCTCGTACACGTGTTTGGATCTCGCATATAAATAATGAGGGAATCCGTCCATTCAGAACTTTTACGTCCTTCTTCTATTGTGCCCGCCTCTGCAACCGTCGTCCACTACCATCAATTTTGCTCCGACCACCGTATGACGCCTGACTAGAACCGCATTCCTTCCAGTTCCTCTTCTTCGACCACGTAAGTACACCAATCCTCTGTCTGTTCTTTATTTTTCCTTGTTTTGATGCTTTAGATTGCATGTGGTTAGGACTAAAACAACTTAGTTAGGGCGTGTTTAGTGGTGGTTGTTGTTGGTAGATGGTGGCGCAACCATCTATCTGCCACCGCCGACATAGTTGGTTCTTTTAGGAAGGGTAAGTTAATAACCCTTAGGCTCAGATGACTCGTGATAGGGGAGACATAGTTGCGCCACTGTTAGGTTGTCATGACCTCTGATGGTTTTCCTGTGAGGCCACTGGACTTTGTGACCAGGGGTTATCCCCAGATGCTTTAGGTAGAACTGTCGGACACCTTCCCCAGTTGCTTAGCTCAGCCATTTGAGTAGGGATTAGGTCGAGGATGCTCTTCTTCGGTCCTTTGTGTGCCCTTTCATTTGACTAGCAGTGGAAGGGTGAATTTGATTTTGCCATCGAATTCACTATTTTCCTCTGTTTTTCAGGTAAAAGAGATGTCGTGCAGGGAAGAAGAAGAGTGTCTTAGGGATTCATCCGAGGATAGATCCTTGGAGAGTATAGATACAGATGATAGTTCCTCGTCTCCCGAGGTCGTTAGAATGTCTACTGCATTGTCGCTGGTGGACGAGTGGATTGTGGCCGAGCCTATGGAGCACGTGTCTATCTTTGCTTCTTATATTGGAGACGCCTTCACCACGGTGGTACCAGAGGGAGAATGGAAGGTGCATTTTACTTTTGGAGAAGACCACATTTGCTCGGCATACGGGGAACGCTTCCATATGTATGAGTACGTCTTTAAGGAGATAAGGGTGAGGTTGCCCTTTACTGATTTTCAGCGTGTTGTCTTCGTCCATATTGATCTGGCGTCTTCTCAGCTGCACTCAAATTCTCTCGCCTTCATGGGAGCATCTGCAGATCGGGGTCCCCTTCCTCTTTTCTGCACCATTTTACACCTTCAACGACAGGTGTCGGGGAAGAGGTTTGGTTGGGTTTCCTTGAAGCAATGGAGTAAGCTATTCAAACCTTTCTCCAAATCTATTCGAACGTTTAATGAGAGGTTCTATGTGATCGAGCCAGTGTCGGAGGTGGCCACTGATTCGACATTTGTATGGGAGGTCTCCACGTATGAGAACAGGGAGGACTTGATATATGAGGAGGGCAAGATAGTCGCCCGAAGACTTTTTACTTTTCCATTTTGTTGGAGCAGGGATCACTTTACCCGCCCAACCGATGAGTATATAGTTGCTCCTCACCAACTGGCGGAGGATGACAAAGCCAGTTATGCCAAGCTGGTGGCTTACGTGGATAGCTTCCTTCCTGCCCAGTGCGTGACTCATGTCGGGCAACTTTTGTACGAGGAAGACGGTGGGCTGCAAGTGGAAGCCCGATACATCAACACAAAGGAGCTCCTCGAGTTTTGAACTCGCGAGAAGGCTCTTGAACTCTTAGGTAGTTGTCTCTTCTTTCTTATTCTGCTCGAAATCTTTCTTTCTCTGTGCTTATGTGTCTATTATTTTTGCAGGTAAAATGCCTTCAGCACAGGAACGGATGATGAAGCATGCTCAGGGGAAGATGAAGAGTGGTACTGCCCTGGGTAAGAGTTGTCTCGGTCAGCGGACGGTTCCCCCTACATCTGGTTCGGGGACATCATCTTCCACTCCTCCTCCCACCTAGACATCGCCTCTGCCTGTGAGCTCGAGGGCCAAGC